AAACCATCCTTTTAGGAACAGCTGAGGCAATTTATGTTTGATGTCACTGTATTTCTGTTACATTTTAACTCAATACCTGTAGGGGTCGTGCAATCTCTTATTGCCATTGTCCCCACCATTCCCTGTTGTGTTATATCTGGCCTGCTTCATTCAATTATCTGCCTGGCTCTTGAAAACATTTAGATTTAATGCCCTGACGACCTCCTGTGGGCTCCCAGGTTTCCGTACAGGGCTTCTTTATACGCAACCCACTACCTCTATCCTGGGTGCATTCACAGTCAGCCATTCAGACCCCACGGCTTGTGCTCTGAGGCACACCTTGGCTCCACTTTCTTCTTCTGTATCCATACATGGCTTGTTCTCCTTGTGACTTGCCCACAGACTGCCCTGTCCTCACCCCAACATCAGTTTCGTTATTCTCTGTGTGTGCATCTGGGAGAAAGGGCTTGCAGGGAACATGTTTGCAGGAAACATCTTACTGAAAGTTGTGTTTTCACAGCATATGAGTAGATGCGATTTCACCAGTTTTTGGAGGGTTGATCTTTTTATTTCATTGATTGATTTTAGAGAGAGAGAGAGGAAAGGGGGGGATGGAGAGAGAGAGAAAAAAACATCGATTTGTTGCTCTACTTACTGATACATTCACTGGTTGATTCTTGTATCTTCCCTGACCAGAGATCAAACTTGCAACCTTTGGTGTATCAGGGCAATGCTCTAACCAACTTAGCTATCCAACCAGGACTGGAGGGTTGATCTTTATGCAGGTTGGTGTCTCATCTCTACAGTGTTTCTAAGAGATAATATGTCTCAAATTCCAAACAACTAAATTTGGAATGAATTTGATGACCCAACTCTTTTCATAACTTGAGAATTGCACTAATCAAAATTCCGATATGTTGGAAAGCTCACTTTGGAGGTATATAGATTTGAATATAAATTCTGGCTTTGTCACCTACTAATTAGGTGACTTTGGGCAAATTACTGAATTCTCTGAAGCATGCATGTTTCTTTATCTGTAATGAGGACATAATCTTGTTTACAGTGTTGGTACAAAGACTTAGTGAAAGTTTCTACATACATCTCCTGTCATGGTGTTGGTACACAGCAAACATTCATAAATAATTATTATAATTGCCATGACATAGGGAAAAATTAGGACAAAATATGATATTTGTTTAATTGTAAAGGTAACTTTTTTACATAAATTTCAACATCTAATTGACATATTTTCATTATGGAGAACTGCAGGAAAGGGGAAACTTAATAGGAGAAAATAGAAATCAACCAAAATCTCATCTTGGTGCTTTTTCTCTCAATATTTCACTATGTACATGTATAATTTACACAATTGGAATTAAACCAGATATAATGGTATTTTACCTCCAACATTTTTCACTTAAAATACAATAAGCTTTTTCTTTCCATAAAAATTCTTTAACAGGTGCTAGTTTTAAAGAATTTAAAATTTAAGGAAATTTTATAACTACTCTGTAATTTAATTATCCATTCCTTTAACGAAGAACATTTAGCTTATTTCCTTTTTTTTTTTTTTCTCCTCTCATGAATGATACTTTCATATAAAATCCCGGAAATTTTATTTTTATCTATATTTGTGTTTTTTCCTTAAAATAGCTTCCTTTAAATTTCTTAAAATTTAAGAAAATTTTAAGGTAGTATTGTTAAGTCAAAGGGTGCTCACAGTTTTAATTCTCTTGCAACCGACAGCCAAGTAGCCCATGTGAAATGCTATAAAGCCTTATCCTCTGGGGTATATTCAAAGTAGTGCTGTTCGCTTCTGCGAGGAGTCCAGAAGTTGACTCCTTTGCCAAAGAACGGCTGCTTGGAGAGTGGACGCTGGGGCCTGTCCAGCGTGCACTTCCTTTTCCTAACAGTGCCCTGAATTCCTTTTGGGGACTTTGTCGCTGCCCCTTGTGCAGCCTTGATGGGACTCCCAAGTTGGAAGGGTCCCCTGGGCAGAAGAACTGACGAGGACGGCGGAGAGGCAGCGGCAGGAGCGCCCACCCCCAGGCTCTGCGCCTGACCGCGGGCTATCGAGCAGTGTGCTCCGTGCCCCTGGGGCTGGCGCCTGGGGGTCCTGTTTCCACAGTAGGCTCGCCGTTGGCCAGGGGGATGGGCCGGGGGCGGGGAGGGGGTCTTTCTGCAGTGGGTTGGATCGGTGCTGGAGCTTTTTAATAATACCTCGTATCTTCTCCTTTCATTAATCCCTAATTAGGCACACAGAAGGCACGGAATCCCGCAGTGCCGCCGGGCACAGGGAAGGTGCCCAGCACATGTTCGTTGAAGCGACCCTGCAGGGTGAGTGAGACAGCCTGAAAGAGGGAGACTGAAGAGCTGTAATATGCGCAATGTTACTGTCTCCTGAGCCTCATTCTGGAAGAAAGCCCCCGGAGAAATCTACCAGGGATGAAGGGCGAGTAACCCTTCCTCATGCTATGTTTGTCCTGCCATCTAGTGGCGGGCACAGGAAGACAGGCCGCGACGAGGCCCCCAGCAGAGGGCAGTCAGGGCACGAGGAACCGGCAGTGCCCGCGGGCGAGCAGAGGAGGTAGGAAAGACCTGGAGCAGCCCACGGGCGCCTCGGAGGTCAGGGTGCTGTGTGAAGGCAGCAAGGGCAGGAATTATTCTCAATATCACTTACAGCTACTGTTTACTGAGCACTTACTATCTCCCAAAGACTGTCCAAAGTGCTTTTCATACTTTCAATCTTTTAGTCCTTCTAGCAGTTCCTTGTGAGGATGGGGAAATGGAAGACTACAGACGTCGAGCAACTGGCCCAGGTTCACACAACTAGTCAGAGGCAGGGCAGGAAGCACATCAAGCATGATCTGACCTCATAGCTTGGGTTTCCAGGAACATTTCCAGAATCACAGAGACATCTCTTCCTGCATCGTTCCTTTTCCATCGCCCCCACCCCCAACCAACCCACTCCGGGGCAACAGAGGGTGGCTTTGTTCACTGCAGTTCACAGCCCCATTTCCACTTTCTATGCCTCTCTTGAGTCCCCATGTGTCTACTCTGAGAAACTCCAAAAGGAAGCTTTACCCTCCCTGGGCCTGGAGATTGTCAGAGGTGGGAGAAGAGGGTGATGAAGCCCAATGTCTACAGTCAACAAATATGAAATATTTTTGACTAATATTTCCTGTTCTTTCCCCTTTTTGGTCAAGTGAGATGGGGATGCAAACCAGGCCCTTTAAAAGACACAGTCACCTTTCAAATGGGCCACTGTAAAGTTCACTTCTAAATTCAGGTGGAGCTTCTTGTGCTTCGTAGGAACAATGGCAGGGTTGGCCCAGGGCTACCACTGCCTTGTTTCAAAAGCAGAAAAAACCAGCCAGCCATCCAGCCAACACATAAGGAGGCCAGGTGACCTGCTGTGTTGGTCACAAGGTTCTGGCCTGAGACCAACCCCACATTTAGGGGATGCTGAGGTTTACTTAGGAAACAGCAGCCCTTCCTCCTGCCTGGCCGATCCGGGCAAGTAATAAATCGCCTATTTTTAGTTTAGGGTTTTGTTTTGCTTTTCTCTTTTTATGAATTTATCCAGACCTGTTTCCCAGGGTTGAGAGCTTGAGTTGCATTGAATTTACTGCATGGAGGATACAAAAAGGAGAGCAGTCTTCAAATGCATTTGGTCTGCCATTTCCTCCCAGGAATCAAAATTTGTCTGCAATAACATCAACATATTTCATTTAACACAACGTACCACTGGATGCCTCAAAAGACCAAAAAGACTGATATTTGGCATCTCCAAGGCTCCTTCTCCTCCGAGTCAGATCTTTGGCCACTGTGTCTTCTCACCCCGGGACCACTGTGCCACCCTTGCTCAGCTGCTCCCAGCCCCGTTCACTGCCTGCCTGCCTCTCCCAGAAGTGGAGAACCTCCTGCCCTTGAATACCAGTTGCTGGTTCTTAACACTCTCCACTCTAGGGGCCTGTTCATTTCCCTTTTCTTGCAATGATATGATCAAGTAACTTTACTCACTCATTTAGACAACCAACATTTATTGATCAACTCTCATGTGCCAAACACCAGGATAAAGAGGAATACAAGTCACTCACAGCCAAGATGAAGACTAGTAAATGAGGCAATGACTATACAATGTAGAAAATGCTAAGCCAGAGATATACGAAGATACTATGGGGACCCTTCCTTCACCTCCTCTTTCTACTTCCTTGCCTTCTCCCAGCCCCTTCCTCAAGCTCCCGCCTCCATCTACTGCAGAGCCACTGGGTTTAGCTTGCAGCTAAGTGGTTAGATGGCCCCCTTGCCCTAGCAGGCATGAAGCCAACCACAAACTGAAAAGGAGCCATGGCAGCCTTTGAAGCGTGAACCACTACGATAAGAAAACATGTGGGAGGGGAGAGAAGTTTGCATATGCACCATTAGTACTGGTGCTAAAAATAAAGTTTGTGAAATGCCTAAATGAAGAACAGGAGAATAAATTGATGAATAACTGAATGATTCAATAGATGATTTAATGAATGAATCACAGAGTAAACTGTCAACCTTGAAGAAAAACTGAAGTTTAGAGTCTCTAACACTTGTGCTTGTTCATTGAATGCCGTGTTCCCCAGAAGGTTCCCTACAACGACTTTTATTTTAAGAAATTAAGATTACTTAAAAGTTCATTGAGAAAGTGATAATGCGCTTAAGAAACACCTGGAGCTGCCAAGGGGCTTTTCAGAGCCAGGACTCAAGACCATTTAGGTAGGAGAAAGCTGAGTGGCCGCCCCCCGTGCACGTTAGGGAAGAAGCTCCAAGTTCCTCAGGCCAGAGCCTTGTGAGGCTGCTTGACTGCTGGGGACACAGAGTTACAAAAGGTTCCAGGTTTCTTACTTAACCAAACAGGTGTACCATCCTATCAATAGCTGGAAAGTTGTATGGGAATCAAATCACTGCATTCCATCACCATTTCCATGTTTCCTACTTAAGAGAGAACTTTAGGAAAGCCTTTGGTGTTGCAAACAACTGCATTCTAACTTTTCTGTTCTGTAAATGGACATGTGCTGTAAAGAGGACCAGAATGAGGAGGACATTTGTGTGGTCAGGGGCCTGTTTGAAAGCTTAAATGCCCTTCAAGGCTTCCTTGTTCTCTGAGATAAACTGGCTGAAGCTTTTGACTTTGGGGTTTAGTCGGTGGGTGAGCTTGACATCACGGTCTGGCTTCATGTGATAGAAACGAAACATCTCGGCCATTTCCTTCACTCCAGGAAATCCCAGCTTCTCGTAAGCTTCCATGGTGATCTTTTAAGAACAAGTTAAACACTATATATTATTTTTTTTAAAAAAAAAGAAATGCTTTAGCTCTCTCTTAAAATACTTTGAGAACAAATTATTCACCTTAATGATAATGTAGTTCCACAGTTCTTTAGCCTAACACCAAAACCCAAGAAACTCTCAAGTTTTTTAAATAAGCAATTTGACAGCAAACTGACTTTTCTGGACTAATTCTGATCTGAACTTATGTGATGCTATTTATGACCTTTAATTATGCCATTTAGTGGAAATAGTCATATATATTTCTGCAGAGATATTGATGTGTTTGATTGCAGGTTCCTGTCCCCCCTCCCCCAAATGGTGATGTTACATGATGCACATAGAACGTAACCTATCTAAAAGCTGAAAGCTCCTGAAAGCTGAATGGCTTCTGGCCCCAAGCATTTTGGATAGGGTACTATGGATCTGTGCCCCCTTCATCGGACCAGCTTTCATATCCCTTTCTTCAAGGGATTCCTTCAGCAGCCCTCGCAGTCTACCCACCCAGCCCTCCATGCGGCGTCCAGGCCCCCACACACCCTGGCATCAGGCTCTCTGTCCTTTCCTCCTGGCTGATGTCCCTTCATCATTATCCTCCTTGATTAGAAATGAGCAACTTGACGTCAACCATCCCAGACTTTGCCAGGCCCAGGCTCAAACAAACGCTGCCCATCACACATTTACTGAGCTGCCTTCTGTCACCTTCCACAAAACCCACCTCTTGGGTCCCTCTGACACTAACTAGATCAACAGCCCCCCTCACTTGAATTAGCAAAACCCATTTCTGACTATTGGATCCAATGTAATCTGTCTTTGACCCCCAGAGATAAACTCTAACCTTGCTCTTCTACTTGGCCTCAGAACAATGTAACACACAAACAATTCATATAAAACAATGATTATCATGTGTCACTTATAACAATAAAAAAATCAAGAATAACTTGCATGTGCAAAAAAAGGAGAGACAATAAATTATAGTACATCTACTTTAAGAATATTATGCAGTTATTAAAATTAATGTTTTTGAAGAACTTTAGCAAAACAGAAAGTGCTCATAATACAATTAAATAAAAAAGCTAGATATAAACATATATATACTTGGAAAAGACTAGAAGAAAATGTGGCAAGTCTTAACAGTTCCTATCTCTGATAAGCTAAAATATGTGATTTTTATTTTCTTTTTTATAATTTTCTGTATGTTCTGAAATAAGCATTTGGTATTTTAAAATCAGAAAATAGAAGCTTTCAGTAAGAAGACTACATGAGAAGCGTGGAAGATGACTTAAAAAATGTCTGTCTCCTTGAGTTGCTCCTTCATCCTATAACGATAATTAATATCCCTTAGTAAAATAAAAGATTCTTTTCTGCAGATTTTTGAAGGCAAGAGATCTGTTTTTGTTGTGTCTCACTTTGTGAGAAAACGATATTCTTTTGGGGGTTCGACAGACATTTTCAGCCAGACCAGAGTTCCAGATGGGAGTTTTTTCAGGGTCATGGACTCAACGGAAGCACTTCCGCAGCCTCCTTCCGACCAGACTTGGGAGGGAAAGTCAGACTGCTGAGGCTGGAGCGCCACCTTGTGGCCATATGCATCCTTTCCCAGAGTAGCATGGAGTCTAAGCATTTCCCTGCTTAGGAGCACTGCGCAGTGACATCAGTTAGGCTGGTTACTAAGAACTGCACTAATCATTCTGTAGAACTTCCAGCTTCTAATGCCCTAGAACTTTTCGTGCCAGAGAAGTTTCTCAGGAATTGTGAAATGATTTGATGTACCAAGAATAGTCAAGGATCAGGCATGTGACCAAGAGATGCTTGGAAGGTCCTGAGCCATCCAAAATATCTAGGGTCCACAACAGGTGGCAGCATACGTAAACACAGCTCGCCTCCTCACAAAACCACATTAAAATTACAGCTGAATTATGTAACAGCCATCACTCAGAACCATCAGAAATCGAGCTGAATGGAAGTCTGACAACTATGGAATTAAAGAAACCTCCACAGAGGGCGGAGGTTGGTGTTCAGTGGTCACATCCAGTCCTTGCAGCTGACTGGCCTGGGTAAATCCCTCCCATTGACCTGCCAACAGCAACCAAGTCTCAACTACAAAAGGAGGGTGTACTCAGCACACATGAAGGGCAGACCTTATGTACCCAGTTTGGGTGATGGAGGAGGATGTGCCACTGGACCCTACAGGACACCTACTACCTTAGGCCACACTACCAAGACATGGAGTTAAAGCAACTCTACCTAATTCATAGGAACAAACACAAGGAGGCTACAAAAAGCAAACAAGGAGACAAAGAAACATGGCCCAAATGAAAGAACAGATCAAAACTCCAGAAAAAGAACTAAACAAAATGGAGGTAAGCAATCTATCAGATGCAGAGTTCAAAACACTAGTTGTAAGGAAGCTCCAGGAACTTAGGACCTCAACAGCATAAAAAAGGTCTAGTCAGAAACAAAGGATACACAAATTGAAATAAAGAATAATTTACAGGGAAACAAGAGTGGAGTGAATAAAGCTGAGAATCAAATCAATGATTTGGAACATAAGAAGGCAAAAAACAACAATCAGAACAACAAGAATAAAAAAGAATACAAAAAAACAAGGATAGAGTAAGCAGCCTCTAGGACAACTTATAGCAATCCAACATGTGCATCATAGGGGTGCCAGAAGGAGAAGAGAAAGAGCAAGAAATTGGAAATCTATTTGAAAAAATAATGAAAGAAAAATTCCCTAATTTGGTGAAGGAAATAGACATGCAAGTCCAAGAAGCACAGAGAGTCCCAAACAAGATGGATGCAAAGAAGCCCACCCCAAGACATATCATAATTAAACTGCTGAATGTTAAAGATAAAGAGAGAATCTTAAAAGCAGCGAGAGAAAAGCCGATAGTTACCTACAGAGGAGTTCCCAAAAGACTGTCAGCTGATTTCTCAAAAGAAACTTTGCAGGCTAGAAGGGTTTTGGCAAGAAGTATTCAAAGTCATGAAAAGCAGGGACCTACAGCCAACATTGCTCTACCCAGCAAAGTTATCATTTAGAATTGAAGAGCAGATAAAGATCTTCCTAGACAAGGAAAAAAAAGCCTGCCCAGTCCTCTAAGAATGAACACACATACCATATGCCCACACCCCTTTGCCTTTCTCCCCATCTTCCTTACAGATTTAAAACCCCATGAAACAAAAGGAATATAAGACCCAAATGTGTATGCCCTGGTAGAAGGGTCAGTCCCTGAGAAGTGTATTTACACCCAGGTACAAGTGGCTTTGCAGATCCTCTCATGAGTCCATCTTTTAAGTGATTGGCTGTCTTCTTGGGTTTGGAGGTAACTTATTTTCTTCATTAAAGACACCTGAAATAGTTTTCAATTTTTTTTTCTTAGCCTCACAGCTCCAGTTCCTGATGAGGAATTGGAATTGAGGTACCCCCTTAAGACTCAAGACTCACTGAACCAAGAGTTGCAGATAAAAACAACAACCAACTTTCTGTCTCGAACTCTAGGAAATATTCTAGAGCAGGGGTCAACAAAGTTTTTCCTAAAGGGCCAGACAGAAATATTTAAGGTTTTACAGGTCATAGGAGCTCTGTCACAACTACTCAACTCTGTCATTGTACTATGAAAACAGCTGTAGACAGTACATAAACAATGGTGCAGCTGTGTACCAATAAATCTTTATGTAAAAAAGCAGGTGGTGAGCCCTAGTTTGCAGACCCCTGCTCTAGAGAGATGTTGGTGCTGGGTAGGACCTTAGAAATCATCCAAACAAAATTCTCATTTCACAGCTGGGGGGGCTGCAGCCAAGAGAGGCAAAGAGCTGGTTACTTAAGGCCTACCAGCTCGAAAGAAGCATGGGTCCTCCTCCCAGCTCTGCGGGGCACACACAAACATGCACTTCCTTCTCAGAAGCCCTGTTCTCCTTCCTTTTATCAACACTTGCTTTGGAGAAATGGTTGGTAATGTGTATTGTCATCAGTTTCTCTCACTTTTCTGTAAAAGATTTGTCCTAGCCATGTTCTAGTCAGGCCATGCCCACCTGATTTGTACCATGATCAGTTATTGAGGGTTTACTAATTATCAAGTGCTTGCCATTTATACCTCATTTCATCCTCACAACAATCCCGCTAGAGTATAATAACTTTTTTAGCATATGAAGAAACTGGGGCTGGAGAGGTTAAGTAACATGCCAAGATTCCACAGATAGGTAAGGGCAGAGTCAGGATTTTGCTTACTTCCCTTCACCATACTGTCTGTCTCTGGTTCATTCATGTGGATCTAGCCAGGTGAGAATTTGAAGTTCTAGAATTTAGCCAGGACGGTCCTTTTGTTCCCTCCTAGACAGTCTTGCCCATCCTCAAGCATCACCTCAAAGCCACTTTTTCCATGAAGCCTTCTCCTACCCTTCTAAGCACCTATAGTGTTTCCGTCTTGTACTGATCTCTGTGATGTCATGTGCATTAACATTTTCACCCCAACTTTGCTATAAACTCTTCAAACATAGCACCAGGTACATAAGAGGTACTTGATAGATACCAATTGATACTTGATATATGTGCCAAATCCTATGCTAAGCCCCTTAAATATATTCTCTCTAGTTTTCACTAGAACATCCTGAGGTAGATGCTATTATGTTACTGCACAGATGAGGAAGCTAAGGCGCAGAGAGACTAAGTAACTTGCCCGATACCAGCGAGCTCTGGCAGACTAGAGTGATCAGCAATGAGTGCTTATGAGAGGAGAGTTGGGTAGTATATATGAAAAACTTGTACCTCAGTCTTCAGATACTAAGCTCTTGCCACCCAATGGAGATTTTATTCTAACAAGCTGGTTAACCTTAAGCCAAAGAAATAAAGCCGTAAGTGTGAGATTGAGAAGCACTAACACAAGAGAGATTTGAGGAACTGAAATCCTCCTCAATTTCTTCCAATAGCCTAAGCTGAAGCCTGCCTAAATTCATGGAAAGTCTACCAGAATTTGTAAGTCAGTGGGGTGTGACCCATGGTGGACTTTTGTGATCATATATATGACTCCTAAGAACTCACCTTTGCATCTCGGACTTCTTTCCCCAAGGCCTTGGACAAAACATCAGCATATTGCTGTATTGTTAGTGCTTCTGCACTCAGGCCCACGGCCTTGCCTAAAAACTCTGCCGGAGAATTAAAAATACTAGAGACGACTGCTCCAACATCAGCAACAGAGATCCCGTCCATCGGTACGTCCCCCATAGGCAGTGCTAGTTAAAAAAAAAAAAAAAAAAAAAAAAAAAAAAAGGATAAAAATAGCTAATTACATCACATCCTTGGTAGGTCCCACCAACTTGAATTAATCAACCACTTAAAAGGTATAGGAAAGCAATGTATACTGAATGGCCATAATCCATGCAGTATTAAGTTCAAGGTTTTGTTTGAGAAAATACCATAATACCTGAGTATTGACTTTTTTTTAAAAAGTGCCCATTTACTAAACATCTGCTGTGTGCAAAGTATGATTAGTTATATCTCCAACCAAGGCATCACTGCTGACTTCCAGACTCTATTTGTCCAACTTCCTACTCAACATCCTTACGTGACTAATAACCATTAAATTCAATGTGCTCCAGTATGAATTCCTCTATCCCCAAACAACTTTCTCCCCCTACAGACTTCTCCATCTCAGCTAATGGCAACTCTATCATTCCAGTTTCTCAAGTCAAGAATCTTGGAGTCAGCTTGACACTTCTCTCAAACCCCGTATCTTTTGGGGGGTTTCCAGAAGTCCTATTCATAGTGTGTCCAGAATCTGACCACTTCCCACTATCTTCACTGCTACCACCTTGGTCCAAGCCACCTTGGACCATCATCTTTGACTTAGATTATTACAGAGTTGGTCTCCTTGTTTCCACTCTTGCCTTTTCGTGATCTCTGTGAGCCTGTAAAACTAACGTCAGCTCACATCATATCTGCCCATAACCTCCAATGGCTCTCTGTCCCTCAAAAGACAAGCCAGTGCCTTACAGGATCAGACCTCTGTTAACTCTGGCTTCACCTCCTGCTACTCTCCTTTCCTTGCTCTGTTCTGGCCACAGTAGTTGTTCCTTCTTCCCAAAATGTTCTTACCCTGAGTACCCAAAAGCCCACCACCTAGCTCTATCAGAAAGTGCTCAAATGTTGCCTTCTCAAAGAGGCCCACTGACCACCTTGTTTAAATTTCACGTGCCATCTCCTTACTGCTAGCATTCCACATATGCCTTACCCTGCCCAATTTTTTTGTGGTACTTACCTCTTAACATGCAATATGCCTTACTTATCTATTATGTTTATTATCTATCTCCTTCACCCCAATAGATGTTTATTATCTATTTCCTTCACCCAAATAGGAGCTTCACAAGGGCAGAGCTGTTTGTTTTGAACTGTTTACTACTGATTCCCCAGTAAATGACTGGCACATAGGAAGCTCTCAAGTACTCATTGAATGGATAAAGGAATGAACGAACAAATATATTAGCTGGTTTAATCTTAAAAATAACCTTGAAACATAGGAATATCAAGTACTTGCGAGAAGTGGGTTCAAATCCTTACATGTCACTCCAAAGACTGTGTCCCTCCTACAGTGCGATACAGCCTCTCACAGATTCCCAGAATCCCAGAATCCTGAGGCTCGAACCCAAAGTAGACACTGTCTAGTCCCAGAACTCTTGTTTGTTAAATGAAAAAACAAAGTCTATTGACTTGCCTGCTGCCTCACAGCCAGGAAGCAACAGGTCAGGACAAGAATCAAGGTCTCTGAACTTCAATCCAGTGTAAAAGTGACTTCGGGCTTAGCGGTCAGGGACTAAATATCATATTTAGTCTTTTGTAGCTAACGTAGCTTCGTGCCTCAATTTCTTTATCGGCCAGTTGCCTGCTCAGATTAAATTATGATTGTATTTTATATTGGTAAAGCAGTTTGCACTTTTTGAGGCACTCAGAGCTAAGCTGTTCTGACTTTGAGGTTTGTTTTTATTTGGGAGTTGAGAGTCTTGTGATGAGATTAAAAGCAGCTATGGGACAGTGGGAAGGACTATGGCTCTGGAGTCAGACTGCCAGGGTCCATGTCCTGGCGCTGCCTTATTAATGATCTTTGGAAAGTTACTTACTCTGTCTTGCCTCAGTCTCCTAATCTGTAAAATGAAGGTAAATAGCGCAATGCCAGGCCCTTAGTAAGTGTTTAGTAAGTGTTAGCTATTTCTATGTGGAGAATGATTCCTGAGCCTCAGAAATACCTAAAACTGGGTTTTACAGACTTTGGGGCTCCACATGGAAATGGGCACCAGAAGTAATTCAGGGCATCACCTCTTCACCCAGGCCAATCTAACTGATAGACTACAATGCCTTAGTTCAGGACCTGGGAAATGTCAGACAGCTGGCTTCTGAAATCTGGTAAGGGCATAGGAAGAAAGGAGGTGGGAGTAAAAAGTGCTGTATCACGTTTATACATTTAACTAGTCACTTGTTAAACTATTACTCAGGTCATCTGTTGCATGGCAGGTGCTCCAGGTTGACTTTGACTGTCACTAGTTATACCTCTGATAAGTCTCACTTATGTGCTGAGAAAAAAAAGACTGAATTGCTGCTGTTGATACTTCCATAGTCCCTCCACCCCATGCAGCCACCTTGGACTCTGGACAAATTCCAGTGGACTGGAAGCATTGGAATGACTAGGAATCCCTGTTGAAACTGTAATCTTCCGGGCCCCAGTCCAGACCTACAGAATCAGACTCTTTCTCTGGGGATCCCCAGTTCCCTCTAGATATTCTGACCATGGGACCCAGGTCAAGAGAAGAATGTCTTTCCTATTACCACAGAAGCTCAGATGGATGAGCTAGAAGGGACCTTAGAAGTCACCTTGTCCAAACTTTTTCATTAGACATGAGGAAACTAAGGCTTGAGGTCATGTAGCTCACAACTTATATAAGGAGCATCAGATTGTTAAGAGTGGAAGTGAAATCCTTTGTGTTTCCAGTCCAAGAACCAGTTCTCTGTGAAGTCTAAAACAAAGCCGTATCCCTCTCAGCACTTCACATGGAGGTTAAGCACATAGGAGGCACTCAAATGATATATGTCCACTGAAATGAGGGAGGAAGGGCAAGAGGGAGGGGGAGGGGAGGACAGCAGGTGTCTGTTTAACTTTCACTGCAAACTTCCACTTACCCATGGTGTAGTAATCTCCATCAGAGGCTTTCGTAGGCTTCCATATGGTGAGAAAGTTTTCAAAGTAAGCTGCCAAGCGCACGCTGGTCATGGGAACACCAATGGACCAGAAATACTCTTCTACCTCTCCCTTTCCAGAAAAGTGCTCAACTTCCAACTTCCCACCTGTCAGGCGCTTGACGTTCTCCAGGCCACTGAATACCACGTGCTTCAGACCCAGGCGCTTGGCCATATCTGCCACCAGCTTGCCCTGAGAAACAAACATCAATTCTTTATATAGATTTCTCTATATGAATATGGACAAGAGGGCAGGTGTTGGTTTCCCTTACCCCTCCTTTTCCTATTGTCCTCCTTTGAGAGGAAGTTCTTCCAGAACCAAAATATACTCAAGCTACTATCTGAGAGGCCACCAGTATTAGTGGCTCCGCCATGTCAAAATGCTGAACTCCATCAGAAGCTAAGAGGTAGCTTGGTGGGAACAGTCAGAAACATTTGATCCCTTCCTCTAGGCTATCACTATTTTTGTGATCAACTGCCACATTTATTTATATAAGAGGCTCAGGAATACCTGAGACAACACATAGTATAATAATGTTTTCTGGTAATGAATTATATCCGCACACCATTTCAAACTTGAGGGCATAATGAAGACACACTCACACATTCTCTTTTCTGTGTTTAAGTTCCAAATTTCTCAAAGCACCTTCAAGGGAAGGCAGAGCAGCCAGGGAGGGTAAGAAGAAAGGCTCAGAGGTGTCCCCACCTGACACACTTCTTTCTCTTTGCTGAGATGGTCCCAGAAGTTGGTCACCACGAAGGCCCCATAGGCATCTTTTAAGACAGCCTCCACTGATGCTTCATCATTCAGGTCCCCTTTTACCACTTCGGCACCAAGGTCCCGGAGCGCCAGTGCTTTCGGTTGAGTCACATCCCTGGTCAGAGCTCTCACAGCAAACTGTTTGCTCTCCAAAATGGCCCTGGCCACAGAGCCACCCTGAGCTCCTGCAGGATTGGGGAAGAAGAAATAGAGGAAGAAATCAGGAAGGATGTTCACTGCAGAACAGTTGGTCAGGGAAGTCCCATCATTCAGAGTGCAGCGGTTATAACTATTTCAGGCAGCATCCCCACAGCTTGCAACCGTGGTTTTCAAACCAGGTTTCCTGCAGCCTGGTCAGAGGCACCTCCAGAGAATCTGTGGTGCAGAGAAAGAATGGGAGAGGCCTGGCAACCACGAGGCCAAAGGAGCGGGAAGCCAGACCTGCCACCCAGGTTCAACGGGGAAATCTACTTTTATCTGACTATAGATTTTATTTTGAGGTTCTTCACACAATTTTATTTTCAAAAGAGCTTCTTATTTTATATTTTTTTAAAAATTGGAAAACCTGCTAACTTTCTTTTTATGGCATTCAAAGCCGTTGATGACATGATCATTATTTGCCTAATTTATTTACTAATATTTACTGAATGCCCTGTGATATGTGCCAGGTACTGTGCTGATTTACTGACATTTGGGATCCTCTATCAAATTAGTTGGATACCTGTCCTGAATATGTTTCTTGTGCCTTCAGATCTACCTTCACCTGCTTAGTGCCCTGGGAGGCTGACGTATATGGACTCCATCAATGGGCTCTCTTGCTCTCAGATTGGGTCTGGCCAATGAGAGACATCAGCAGGAGACCCAAGGGCAGGAGAAGAAGTGACCATTTCCATGTTGCTACTCTCCCTGAATTGTGGCCATCTCTCTTGCCCTCTGCTCCTTCCTCCTTTTGCTTACTTATTTATTATGGGCCTCTTCCCTTTCCACCTTTATTTTTCCCTTGCCTTCTCTGAAAGAGTGCAGCACTTGTTTCCTGTGGAATCCCAACTGCTTCACCACTGAGAACCCTATAGGATCTGCTGTTCAATGAGCTCCGCTTTCACACAAGGAGTTTCAGCCGAAGTGTAGTGATCTAGTAGTAAATATGAGCAGAGAGCCAAAGGTCACCAGATGTTTGAAGAAAGCCTCCAACAAAACCAATATAAATAAACTGACAAAATGAAACAGAAACAATGCATTGAAGAGAAATTTTAAAGAATTAATATTTTCAGAGACTGGAGAAGATTTTGCTTTCAGAAGACTACCTCTACATACTGCACCAATAAAAAGGGAGGAGACAGTAGAGAAGGAGAGAGAGCATTCAGAAGAGAAGATGAAGCTCTCAGAAATTTAAAATGTTATAGCAGAAATAAATTTTCAGCAGAAAAAGTTGGAGAAATCTCTTAGAGTTACAAGGGGAAAAAACACAAAGGAATGGAAACTAGTAAAGAGATCATAGATCAAGCCAGGGGAACTCCACAGTGAGAGAATAGAGAAAACGGATATATGGAATTATCAAAGAAAATAATCTCCCAAAGTTTAAGGATTACAAGTGAGCTTCCAGAGTAAGGGGCACTGAGTACCCACATAATAAATAAATAAAGTTCTACATTATTTGCATTAATTGTGAAATTTCAGAACACTGGTGATAAAAAATATTATGAACTTTGATGAAAGTGTGGTTAATTCAAAGGTGGGGAATAAAAATAGTGCCAGATTTCTTTATAACACTGAAACCAATGGAGTCATGCCATTTAGGGGGGAAATTAATTTCTATTTAGAATTTTAAACCTAGCCAAATGATCAACTGAGTCTAAACATTCTACATGAAGACCTTTTCAGACATTCAAGATCTCAAAAATTTAACTCCTGTGTATTCTTTCTCAGTAAGCTGTTGGAGGATGGGCTCCAGCAAAATGACAAAGTAAAGCAAGCAAGAGGAACCCAGGAGAAAGGCCAAGAGAATTATTAGAATAATGGGGAAGAGCATCCTAGAAAGACTGAAATAGGAAAAGGCAGCATTCCAGGAAGAAGGTCTCCATGGAGAGAAAAAAACAGAATAGATTAAAGGGGAAAAAATGAGCCATAGGTACAAAGAAAGATAAATAAAAAATAAAAGCAATTATTAATTTCAGGGAAAACAAGAAACTATATGAGAAAAGAAAGTGCATACTACATGAGTCAAATATGAACAATAATTACATAGTTATAGTAAGAGTCCATATTAGTTCATCATTTATATGAAAAATACAAGTTGTTATAAATTGTATGCAAAGGATGAGAAAAAGGATGTGCATGGGGATTGGGATATGAGAGAACTAAAGACAATGAATAATATCTAAAACTGAGAAGTCAATAAAGAGCACATTACATTTTCAGAAATATGGAGACAAACACCAGTACAAAGAGAAGAGTTAAATGTGGAAAGGGGAAGGGCAGGATCTGTTGGGTTTCTTTGTAAGAATTGTGGGTAGACTTTTAAAACTATTATATTCACATCTATAAAAATAAAATTCAGTATAAAATATTTGTTCACTCTATTAGTTTGTTAATCCTGCCATAACAAAATTCCACAGATTGAGGCTTAAACAATTGAAATATATTTTCTCACAGTTCTGGAGGCTAGAAGTCCAAGATCAAGGTGTTGCTAATGCTTGGTTTCTCCTGAGATGTCTCCCCTTGGCTTGTAGATGGAGAGCCTTCTAACTGTATCCTCATTTGGTCTTTGCTTTGCGCACTTTAGCCCTTCCTGTCTGTCTCTCTGTGTGTGAAAATTTCCTCTTCCTAAAAGGACTTCAGTCCAATAGGATTAGGGACCCTTATCATGGTCTTACGTTAGTATAATTACCTTAGTAAAGGCCTTATCTGCATATACAGTCAAATTCAGAGGTACTAGAAATTAGGGCTACAACATATGAATTATTTTGCGGGGAGACACACTTCAGCCCATATCATCAACTATTGTAATTGTTTTTGTATAACCCTCCTACTAAACTAGGCCCTCCTTGAGGACAGAAACTGTTTACTCTTCATCCCTGTTTCCCAATCATGTGCTGAGACTATTCTCTGGCAAACTGCAAGTTCTCCACATCTGTATGTTGAACTGTGGGCAAAAAGGGGCCACATACAAAACCTCACAAGTTTAGGGGAGGAATGAATGAATGAATGAATGAATGAATGAAATGAAATGAAAAAACTGAAACCTCTGTGCTCTCAACTCTTAGTTTTGGAGGTGAACAGTTCTGCCTGGACCTGTATGAAAGAATAAGAGTAGGACTGGCTTTGTAATCACTCCCACTTTGAATGTTTTACTAAGACCCAAACCAGGTGAAGAATTCATCCATCTTTGCCCTGTTCCTTTAAATTAGCAAGGCATAACATAAACCTATGAGCCCGAAAAAGCAGCCCCCAGAGTGTCCATTCTAGACATACTCAGTTGTTCTAGACCTTCCTCGCTTATTCTGGATTGTTCCCTCTTGGACCCAGCTCCCTACCAGGTGATTCCATGTTGCAGACAGTGTCAACATAAGAAATGTCAAAAGCTGTAGAGAATTTTTGTAAGAGTTTGAGTGCTCACTTTGGCAGCATATGCAATAAAATTATTTGAGCCTCCCTGGCTGATATGGCTCACTGGGTCGAGTGCTGGCCTGCAAACCGAAAAGTCGCCGGTTCAATTCCCAGCCAAGACACATGCCTGGTTTTCCAGCCAGGTCCCCAGCTGGGGGCGGTGTGAGAAGCAACCTATCAATGTATCTATCGCTCAAGGATATTTCTCTTCCTCTCTTTCTCCCTCCTTTCCTCTCTCTAAAATAAATAAATAAATAAATACAACCTTCTTAAAAATAAATAAAGGAAAAAAGAAAAAAATTATTCACGCCAATTGATGACATACGCCAGGGAGCAAGATCTCAAATACTCCACAGAATAACAGTTTTGCAGTTACTTTTATGCATTTGAAATTAAGAAAGGAACATAAGGAAGATATAGGAAGGTGGCAGAAAGCAAAGCAAGGATTGGATTACAGGATAGTTAACAAGATTATGTGCTCTCTTGAGGGTGGTTAAGGCTTATTTCAAAGGTGTGTTAACCTAGATGCACAGAAGCAATGGATAGGACCAGCTTTAGGCAAAGATAAGATTTTTACAAAGAAGTTATATGCCTGGGCATGCCTACCTACCATGACCTTACCAGTTAGAAATTTATGGTCAGATCACCCTGTGAGGGTGCTTTCATAGAACCCCCTTTCTGTCTACAGTTGCACTTGAATGGCAGGCACTGTTTAGAGTTTGATGTGCAAACACATGCAAGGTAAGGGTTAACACATGTCCCTGTCAAATTTAACTAGGCATCTTATATTTTTATCTGCTAAATCGGGCAAAATCGGGCAAACCTAACTCAAACACCCAAACACACCCAGAATGCCACGGTAACTGAACTAGGGACAAGCCCTGGGCAATAATGTAATCTGTCCACTCCCCACTCAGCACATTCTCCTTACCCTCACCCGCTCCACCCTCTCAGAAGCGCTGGGGAATTGGTCAGGCGCGAGACACCTCCTGCACACCCTTGGGCCTCTCGCACTTGCTCCTTTTACTTGTCAGGGAGTGCGTGGAGAAAAGTCTCCAGAGTATATTTCTATGAAAATGAAAGATACCAACAGGTCAGCACACAATTGAGAAAGAGAGAATATGTCAGTTGTCCTTGGCCCACTGAGATCATTTCTGACAAATAAAATCAAATCCCCCAGCCCCTTTGCCACATCAGAAACTCAAGCAACAGGACACTTTTCTTAATTTCCTCCAGAGGTCTCTCTGTTCAGCCCATGCCGGCAGGCTCTGACTTTAAAACAAGACAGGAAAGTAAGCCAAGTCAGCATGCACTTTGAAGTAAGGGGTTTTCTTACCTGTTGCTCCAAAAACTGCAATTACTTTCTTGCTGGTCATGTTACTGGACAAAGAAATAGTGCAGTAGCCCAATTTTCCTCCGAGTAGTGACAGCAGCTGAATGAGTTTCTCTTTAAGTATGTGAGTTGTAAGCCACATCACATTACCACACCCCTCCTTTGTGTAATTTTTGGCCCCTCCTTTGTAAAATTTTTGTAGTTACCAGTGAGCTTGCTCACTATGACACTGCAATTTTCCAAACAGGATTCATTTATTCCTTCACTTATGGGTTCAGTAAATGTGGATGAGTGCCTTTGGTATACCAGACATTGAACTAGAGGTCCTGATGATCCAGATCTTGTAAGGGAGATAAACTAGTAAATAAAAGTACAGTAGAGAGAAATGGCAGAGGGGACACAGGTTATCGGGGAATGACATAAAAGCCACATTGCAGGTGTTAGGGAAGGTTTTTCAGAGGAGAGGATGCTGACGCTGGCCTGAAGACCCAGTGAGAGAGTACCCCAGGCAGGAGGAAACACACATAACCAAGTTCAAAGGCATGGCAATTATGACACAGGGCTCGCGATGGCTGCAACAATAGTAGTGAGAGGTGAGACTGGGAAGGATGCAGGGGACAGAACACAGAGGGCCTGATGGCCATCGCAAGGAGCTTGGATTTATCCTGAGAGCCACAGCAGTTTTTATGTGATCCTTTGGCAGCAGGGTGGAGGCTGGGTGGAAAGAAGGCCATGCTGGAAATACGGCTACTCCTAAGGGGACTAAAGAAATGATACGAGGAAGAAATAACAAAGGCTAGAACAGAGGCAGTGTTTGGGGGTGAATTGTGTCCCCCCAAAATTCATATGTGGACATCCTAATCTCTAATACAGCAGAGTGTGACCTCATTTGGAGATAGGGTCTTCACAGAGGTAACCAAGTTTAAGTGAGGCCGTTCAAGTGGACCTAATCCAGTATGACTGGTGTCGTTGGAAAAAGAGAAAATTTGAACACGGAAATATGTACAAAGGGAAGATGATGTGAAGAGACAGGGAGACCACCATGTGATCACGAAGACGGCCGCCTATAAGTCAAGGAAAGAAAGGTCTGGGCACAAATCCTTCCCTCGCAACCCTCAGAAGGAACCAGCCCCACCAACATCTTGATTTTGGACTTCTGGCCTCCAGGACTGTGAGACAATAAATGTGTTTTTTAATCAACCCACTGTGTGGTACTTTGTTATGGCAGCCCTACTAAACCAATATAGGCAGTGACAAGGAGGGTAAAGTGAAAGATGTTTAGGAGGTATACTGATCCAATCTTTGACTGGAAGTGGCAAAAGGGAAGGCAAGGAAGAGAAAGGACCAAAAATAACTGCCAACTGGATGGGCAGTGGAGGAGCAGGAGCAGACCTCAGGGTTAAATGAGATCGGAATTGAACCTCTTGGGTTTGAGGCTGCAACTTTTGTGTGATTGGGAGATGAGGAAGTAAGAAGAGCAAGTGTAGCTCTCTCATTTAAGGAACCTTGCTGTAAAGGAAGTGAGAGGAACTATGGTTATAAGATAAAATGGAATTTTATTTCACAAGGAAAGACTTAAACATGTTTGCGGGTTAAAAGTGCCTCTCTCCATCCCTCACACTCTGTTTATTTTTCTTTATAACACTTATGACTTGATATATCACAGGTATATTTCTTCGCTCATATGTTTATTTCCAACTTCTCCCAACTAGACTGTGCGCTCCATGAGGACAGTGACTTTGTTCACTTGTGTATAGCTTCAGAGACTATAGCTATATCTGGCATATAATAGGTACACAGTAAATTTTTGTTGAATGAATGTAACTAGGTTTCTAAGGAAGCTGAAAGGCATGGACTGTGCAGCACAAAGGAAGGGATGCTGAAAATAGCAGCTATCGCAGGGATACCTGGAACCCTCTGCCAAACAGTTACAAAGACATATCAAAAATGGGACAAATCATGACTCTGCAGCCCGGCTGTCCCTTGCCTTTCCCTCCACCCTCCTGCTCATATCGCCTGCTCCTGCCTGACTATCCTTGCAAGAGGAAGCAATTCTCCTGACTGCCCCCCTCTACAGTGTAACCCATAATGCAACTGAGAGAGAGGCTCTGTAGTTGGTACAGATTGGCAGAGTTGGTCATGAACAACTGTGCATTTCTTGGGGGCAAACGTAAAGAGACTAAGCAGGACAAGCTAAATCCAGAGGGTCCAGAAAGTGGAGAACTATATGTTCTCATTTCTAAGATAAAGATATTAGTGGAACAAAGTCAGCTATGTTGCAAGAAAGATATGTAGTGCCCCTGCTCCCCTAACTACATACAATATTACTCTAGCCATGTGGAGAGTTCTCAGTAACATTCCAAGCAAACATGCAAAAGAGACGAAGATTTACATTCAAATAGTTTATCCATAGCATTATTTACATGGAAAAGAACTAGAGGCTATCTAAATGTGAAATAAATGTTGGCACAGCCATAAAACAGAAGGGTATATCTCCATTAGAAATTACATTTTGTAAAAATTTTCATAAAATGGGAAAATGCTCATAATATAAAGTTATATGAAATCAACAGACTAAAGAACTACATATATAGTGTAATTTTGAGGTTGCAAAGAAAAAAATTATACACACACATGCGTACACACACATAGACTAAGCAGTTGAGTGATACTCTACAGCATGCTGGTGGAAGAGCCCGAGGACTGGGCATGACTTGACATTATTGTTCTCACACTTTGATTACAGCATAGTGCTATGTCATGCCCATATCCTAAGAGCTGACTGGAGAAAAAAAAAAGTTAAAAGGCTGGGAGGATAGAGCAGCACTGTTAATAGGAGCCTAGAGTTGGAAACAACATGAACATCCATCTAGAGTAGAATGGATAATGTGTGGCATACTCACACAATGACATACACACAGCGACAAGAACGAATAATCCAAATTCCACGTGCAAAACAACTGGGAAAAACCTCACAAATAAAATGTTGATTGAAAGAGTAAAGGAATGTCTAGCATACAATCAAATTTCTATAACATTAAAAAGCAGGAAAAACTAACCTATGGTGACAGACATGAGCAGTGGTTACTTTGGGGGGCAGTGATTGGAAGGAGCATAGGGGGCTTCGGTAGCAGCTGCTGCAGGGCTGTAATATCCTTTGTCTTATCTGCATGTTGATAGCCCGTGTGAGTTCATTTTGTGAAAATTTATCAAGCTGTACAATTAAGATCTATGCAATTTTCTCTGTATTTCATTAAAAAGTCTACTTTAAAAAATAATCTATAGAAAAAAAACAAGAAGTGGCTGAACAGGAAAAGCTAAAATGGGCAGGTACCAGCCTGTAAATGTTTATACTGTATGGAAGCAAAAAACTTCAGCTTTTTAACTAGGCAAATGACTACCAGGGCAAGTAGGAACATGGTAACTGTTCAATCATTTCTCAATATTATTATAGTAAAATTTAAGCTCAATTATTGGTGTTCTGAATAGGGGAAGATTACTTGTCACTGGGAGAGAGTCTGGATAAAGGAACAAAATCAAGAAAGGCCAGGTATTCTAGCTTAGATAGGAATTAAAGTTGTTGGGGTGGGTGAGGAAGATATTTCTAGTAAAGGTAAAAGCTTTATAAGTCCATGACTATTTTAAGCACACAAAGGTTTAGATGAAGCTATTTGCTTTTGTTTTGTTTCTCATATTTTAATTGATTTTTTTCTTTATCAAATAATTAATTCCCATGATGAAAATAGGGACTATTCTGTGAAGTGCAAAGAACTAGGAACCTTTTTCTCATACTATCACTACTGTGAGGGAACCACACTTTGCATATTTGGTTTCATATTGTTAATGCCTTTTTTCTTTACACCATCAAGATAATTCTTTATGAACAATTTGGCATCTATTGAGAAAAATAAAGATGAACAAAGATAAAGGTAAATAAAGCAACAAAAACATGTTAGTATGTTCAAGATTTTGTTAAGATTCTTTTTTTGCAAACAACAGAAACTGATTATGGAAATTATTCAAAAGATATGGGGCAATCTCAGAATCTTCAGAAATGCTGAGAACAAAGCTTAGAGAGGTTGATCAACCAGGACACATATCAAAATGATATCCTAGAACTGGTCTGGCAAAGATAGCATAGCTGCTGCCACTGAGCACAGCAATCGCACTGCCAACGCAACTGATTCAGAACAATTAGATCTACTACCCGCTGCTGTGGTCTCTACCCATTTTTGAAATGTATTCTCTACAGTATTGTTCCTTTGCACCACTAACTTCTGATTCTAAGACTTACTAACCTCTGATTCTAAGACTTTTTTTTTTTTGGCTTTAAATTGTTTTATTAAAAACTGTACCAATTGAGGAAAGGAAGACACACACACATACACACACACACAGGCATGTAAAGAACAGAAAGTCAAATACACTGTACGGGTTAAAAAACAATGGGTCCTCATTCTCCTCCCTCTTTCCCTGTCTCTCTCCCAGAGGCAGAGAGCCTAGAACCCAGGGAAAATGATCCAGGATGGACAAAATGCTACATTCTCACTGGGTCTCCAGGGATGGGGTCCCGCTGGGCAATCCTCACAGAGCAGGCAGAGGTGCTGGCCGCCTGTGCAGAGAGAGGGGCCGCGTGAACCTGGAAGCCTGCACAGGCTCTGAGCACTTTCAGCGGTGCATCTCTGGAAGCACTGGGCTTTCCCTGACATTCCCTCAAGGCTCCAAGTCCTCACTAGCCCTGAGTGGCCTCCCCACTGCCCAGTGTTCCTAGGAGGCTTCACAGGCTGATAAGTTAATCCTTTCCTGGGACAATTCTGGCCTACGTGGCCTGCCACCAGTGTCCCTGATTACACACAGAGGGGCTCTAAACTGCCTCCAACCTGGGCGGTAGCACTGATTCACAGAAGCCCGGAGAACAGTGGCTGTGGAGAGAGGCCAAGTATCTGGGATCCGTGATTTCTATAACAGCATTGGACTCTGCTGCACGTGGAGATGCTCCCAAACCACAGGAAAGGAATTCGGATGCTAAGTTACCATAAGAGACACAAATTTCTATCACAGTCTACCCCT